ATTCTGCTCAGTAAATTACATTTCCAGTCAGTGAGAATATTAAAAGTCAACTTAAAACCAAAGTGTTAAGATATTCAGAGTTGCACGGAACAGCTTGGAAATAATTCATGAAAAGGAGATTGAGTGCATTCAGTTATCCTCTCTCCTTCCTGTAAAGAACCTGGATGTTTAAGTTGACCAGGCCTTGCACACATTGACCATTTGACCATGGCACCCATAATGGTGTCATCCATTTGACATATATTATGTTAGAATGTGCCTAACAAAAGTCTCTTGCTGTCAATCTTGAAAATTTCAATGGATCCTACATCCAAAAACTCTTGGGAAAGAATTCCAGATATTAAGTACCACCTGGGTGAAAAACTTCTTCCTGGTTTCACTGTAGAATGACATAGATCAAATTTTTGGGGTTTTTTTTCTGGATTTCTCCACTGAACGAAAGACATTTTTTTGGTATTGTATGTTTTGAACCCCCTTGTCACTTTGTACATGCCTGTTGGAACATCCTTCACCCTTTGAAACTCAAGAGAAGTCAAGCTAAGTTTATGTCATCCCTCCTCAAATTAACATTTTGAGCTGCAGTGTAATTTATTTTATTTTTAGAAACTGCACGATTTTTATTCCCTCTGTTTGTTTAAGACCAGTGCCTTCTCAGCAGGTGAACCTTTCCCTGGGTAGAATATTAAATAAAAACCAAAAAAACTGCAGATGGTGTAAATCAGGAACAAAAACGAAGTTGCTGGAAAAGCTCAGCAGGCCTGGCAGCATCTGCAAAGACCCTTCTGAGGAAGGGTCACCGGACCCAAAACGTTAACTCTGATTTTGTTTTTCTTCACAGATGCTGCCAGACCTGCTGAACTTTTCCAGTAACTTTGTTTTTGTTCTTTCCCTGGTTAGTATGCATAAAGATCCAGATTTCTGTTTGGCAGTGCAGTGCCTATTGGCACCAGATAGAAGTTTTACACATTCTCATGTGAGCAGAAAGAGCTAGGAGTAAATAATGCTGATTAGAATAGAAAAGGAAGAACCTTATTTTTGCAGGTTTTCTTAAATACTTTTTTTTTTGTTGTTGTTGTTCCATTGCTTGAATGTTAGCTTGCTGACTTCCTGGAGCTTTGCTTCCTTTGTGAAGATTTATAGAGCGATAGCTCTACTCACCTCTACAGCTAAATATGCATCACTTAATTATTCAGGAAGCTTTGCTGGCATCAGTTAAGAGCCCATTGAATTCACGTAATATTTAGCTGGAATATTCTTTACCAGAACAAAAACAGAAACCTATTTTTTCAGAATTATTGATGTATATCCCAAATTCATTGACCATCCACGTCTGGTAGCAGCAGCGTTATTCAGTGTTATAGGGTAGGCACATTTTAACCATGAAAAGCTGCTTATATAACATGAACAATTAATAAAATCTTCCTTGTCCCATGTGGCTATTACACACAAGATCGTAAGATATAGGAGCAGAATTAGACCATTTGACTCGTCCAGTCCAGAGGAAGTTTACAAGAATGATCTCGGAGATAAAGGTTTTATCGTATGAGGTGCAGTTGAGGACTCTGGGTCTGTACTTGATGGAGTTTACATGTACAAAGATGTATTGCATTGAAACTTACAGAAACTTACTGAGACGCCTGGATAGAGTGGACGTGGAGAAGATGGAGAAGGAGAGACGAGAATCCAAGGGCACAGTCTCTGATTGAAGGGATGATCCTTTAGAACTGAGATGAGGAGGAATTTCTTCAGCCAGAGAATGGTTAATTTGTGGAACTCATGTTTCTCAACTCCACTGCCCTACCTTCTTCCCTTAACCTTTGATCCCCTCATTAATCAAGAACTTAGCTATATCTGTCATAAATAAACTCAATGACTTAGCATCCACAGACCTCTATGGAAATGAATTCCACAGATTAACCACCCTCTGGCTGAAGAAATTCCTCCTCATCTCAGTTCCAAGGGGTTGTCCCTTCAATCAGAAACTGTGCCCTCGGGTCCTAGTCTCTCCTTCTCCATTTTCTCCATGTCCACTCTGTCCAGGCCTTTCAGTAAGTTTCTGTCAGTTTCAATGAGATACCCCCTCATCCTTCTAAACTCCATTGAGTACAGAATCAGAGTCCTCAACCGCTCCTCACATGACAAGCCTTTTATCCTCTGGATCATTCTTATAAACCTACTCTGCACCCCTTCCAACATCAGCGCAACCTTCCTTAGATATGGTACCCAAAACTGCTCACAATGTTCCAAATGCTGTCTGACCAGAGCCTTATACAGCCTCAGCAGCAGATCTCTGCTGTTGCATTCTAGAAAAGAATTGGAAAGTAAAAAGCAAAATGCAAGCATTTTTGTCCCCGTTTGCACCCCCACAGATATTCCAAAATGCCTAATGGGCAATGAAGTGCTTAATGAAGGTAGTAACTCTTTCAGGAGGTCTTGTGGTGCAGCGGATAACATTCCAAACAGAATGTCCATGTTCAAGTCTGATTCCAGGACTTGTTTACAGTGTAAAGTGCATTTATACCAGGCTAATTAGCAACTTGCAAATCCTGCCAGTATATCTAATGGCAGCCTGTAAGTGTGGGTGGTTTCCTGGTTAGCAGTCTTGCTGAAGGCAGTGTCAATCTATAGTAATTGTAGACCAATCCATTCGGAAGGCCACAGTCACCAGTTTTCTGTTAGGGCATTGTAGCTGGAGCAAAAGATACACTGTTGCAATGCAGGAAATGTGAAACTTTAATGAAAAAGAAAGGTTGAGGAGAGATGAGGAATTTCTTTCCTGAGGGTTGTGAATCTGTGAAGTTCTTTGCTGTAAAGAGCTGTCAAGTACATTCAAGTTTGAGATGGACAGATTTTTAATCAGTAAGGGAATTAAGGGTGATGGGGAAAAATGGCAGGAAAACAGAGATGAAGATTATAAAATCAGCCATGATCTTGTTGAATGGTAGAGCAGACTTGATGGGCTGAATGGTCCACTTCATATTATGGTCGAGTCTTTCTCTAATGTCCACTGCAGCTGTGGACTGTTTCACTGAGCCCAGTATGAACTATCATGTTTTCTTCCACTCTGATCTTCTCTGCAATTAAATCTTTTCCAACCTGTTTGGTCCAAGTTTAGATCTTGTAGTTCTGTTGCACAAAGGGGTCTAATAAAGATTTGCAGCAGAACTTTTTGTGTTGTTTCAACGGCACTTTGATGAATTGAGCCATTGGAAAATAGCGCAACAGTGCCATCTATAGGCAGTAAACCATCCCTGTTTCCCACCTCACAAGTGATATATCAATGTGATAAATTCTGTTCCTTTTGAGGAATATGCTTTAAAATAAAGATGAGCTCTGTTTATTAGCTCTCTTGTGACATTGTTTGACCCAGAAAATAGATGCACTGACTTAACAATGATTTATTTATTGAGCAAATGCAAGTTCCTAAACCAATCAATACCCTCCATATTTGCTGAAGTCAAAGTGATTACTTCACCACTAGACTGCAGTGGGAACACACCTCAGTAATACACAGCATTGCTTGTGTGACTCTACAAGTGCACAGGGGGTTTGTACTGAAGCGTCAGCACCGGAGGTTGGCTGCACAAAGGTCACGTTTGTCTAAACCAAAAATCATTTTTTAAAAAATATCAGCCCATTGTTCTGTGGTAGTACTGGGAGGTGAACTTAGTTGTGACTCTGAATTTTATGAGTACTGGGACTTAATAGTGAGTGTTAGGAGCACGGTGGAATAGCCATGTAAGCACTGGGGAATGTCTGCTGTCTTCAACTGATGTGATGTCTAAAGTTGACAATGTTGGGGTACATGACAAAATGCCAAACTAGGTGAGCTAGTTTGCTCTGGCATCATTCCGGACCACAAACTGGAAATTTTGTACAAATGTGATGCTTTCAAGGTATTTGGAAAATCTCAGGGAAAAGAAATTCAGTGGATAGATCTTGCAGAGACCTAGCATTGGTATAATGGGGCTGAATGGACACACTTCTGTGCTGCAAAAGCCTATAGATGCAGACCTGATCGAGTGATTTGAGAGTTGTGTATCCTAAATGGAAGTGACATGATACCCCAAAGCTCCGAGATCAGTAATTTTATTTTAAACTTTAATACCAAGAAATGCAGTGCATTGAATGCAGTTCATTACAACCTGCAGCAGTTTCATTTCTTGGTACTTCAAGGCTCACTGATTTGTTGGTCACTGATCTCTTGCAGTCTCTGTTGTCAAATGTTGTGCAAGTTGAGCTAATTACATTAGGATTGTAGTGACAATAAAAATAAAAAGTTCTGGAATTAGAGAAATTGCTAATATTTAAGCCTTTGATTTTTCATCCATATGAGCAAAGTCAACGATGTAATAGATTTTAAACAAAACAAGAAAAAGGAGAGTAATTCCTGCAGTGGGGTGCAAACATTTTCAGTAAACATTATGACCTCTTATTGAAAGACGGTTTTAAAAAGTTGACAGACTGTACAGGAGTGCTGTTGTCAAGTTCCACTCAGTACAGCCATACCAGTGTTACAACAAGGCATGTATCCGCTTATCCCATTGTGGGGCCATGCTGTGTTTTCCTTCATTCCAACAGTGAGTGGGCGTTCATTGTACCACATTAACTATGAAATGCCTGGAATATCCAGAGGTTATGATGGGCGCTGTGGAAATGCAACTTATTGTTTTCTTAAAAAGCCATAGAGAATTGATTCACTAAAACTACTTTATCTGCGTATCATCATATTGCTGTTTGCACAGGCTCAGTGTGCTGATATCAGTTGTCCTAATGTACATTGCTTGCATGCTTTGATGATTCTAGGCTGTGAAAGGCTTTGCAGAGATCTAAAGTTTTATTTGTTTTGCTCGTTATCGAAAAGCCTCAAATCATCAGATTTAAAATGACTCAGATTTGTAGCTCTAGCATTGAGTTAGCATGCATTTTTGTTCCACTCTTGTAGTTTGAGAAGATTTCACAATGCTAATTTTAGTCATTGTACTCTTTTTGTCTTGTAGGGATCACCGTGACAAACCACCCAATGAACAAAACCAGTGCCAGCTTATCTCTCGATTACCTGTAAGAGTTTACATTGCATTTAATATTCAATTCTGAGCTGCAGGCATTCACCACCAGAATTCCTTTATATTGTTTCCTATTCACACTTATAATTATCTCACTAGTCTAAATAACTCAAAGCTCAGCCCTGCCACATGGTCAGTGTAATATGAGGCTTACAAGGCAACCCAGTACCTGAATGTGTTGTGGCTGAAAGGGCAAAGGTACAGTGTGATAACATTTCAATGCCCTGTGCTATGGAACCGCAGATCCCCAGTTTTCCTATAACATTGCCTATTCAGTATGTGCCTACTGAGATAACAAGGTGTAGAGCTGGATGTGAACACAGCAGGCCAAGCAGCATCAGAGGAGCAGGAAGGCTGACGTTTCGGGCCTAGACCCCCTACTGATGGTTGCCCACAAGAGGGAGTGCATGTAGTTAATCTTTTTTAATAATAGAGGTCACGAGCATGCCATTGCCCAGATGAATTATTTTTAATTTGTATGATGCTGTAAGTTTGCAAACTGTGATGCGTGGACTGTGAATATCCAGAAGGACTTCCCTAGACACCTGTGAGATTATCACATTTCTATCTGTTTCTGACTAGGTACGCAGCCTTGTGTCTTGAAAGTTCTGTTTTTCTGATTTTTTTCTCTGTAGGTTTATTTATTTCTACATGAGTTCTTTTGCCCCACACCAAGGAAAGAAATCATACTTTGCAATGATGATACTATTTTTCTTATTTGTAGTTGGTGATGTTTTTTGCAAAGTAGGATAGTGACTGCTCTGGAACAGGAGTATATTGGTATTGAGTATCAATTTAGGAAAAAGTTTGAATATATTTAGCATACACTTCATGCCTGCTTTTACCCCTGACCTATTATGATAGGCCATGTGTTGCAAGAATAGATGCAAAATTTAAGTGTAAAAGCTAATCTTACGCCCACTATGCAAAGTAACTGGAGGGTAAATTATGCCAGTCCTTTAATTTATAAATACCATGCTAAAGAACCTAAATGGAAAAGTACTCTTAGTTAGAAATCACAGCGAGTCAGGCAGCATCCATGGAGAGACAGCAAGCTAATGTTTGAGTCTGTCTGACTCTTCATCAGAGCTCTGACGCAGAGTCATCCAGACATGAAATGTTAGCTTGCCGTTTCTCCCTGGATGCTGCCTGAGCCATTGTGATCTCCAGCATTTTTCGTTTTCAGCACAGATTCCAGCATCTGCAGTAATTTTCTTTTCCTCTTGGCTAGACTTGGTTTCCCCACTGGTCAGAAATTGAGTTGGTAACCATTATTAACTCGGGTGGAATGTGAAGCAGGTAGTTTGATTTCATCAGTTCTCAGGATTTTATTTTTCTTGAATTGTGTTTAGTCTGCAGGGCACGGATGTGGTCATTGCCATTTTCATCATTGTGGCCATGTCCTTCGTGCCAGCCAGCTTTGTGGTGTTCCTGGTGGCAGAGAAATCAACCAAAGCAAAACACTTGCAGTTTGTCAGTGGATGTGACCCTGTGATCTACTGGCTGGCCAACTACGTCTGGGACATGGTGAGAATAAATTTTGTTCTCTAAGAAGGGAAGGATACAATTTAAGCGTTCATCGTAAGACTTGACAGTTCACTGCAAAAAAAAGTCAAAAGATAACCTGAGTGAATATTTTCCAAAGTCACGAGCCACACCACAGATTCTAATATTGTACCATAATGGAATTGAAATAACTTCCAGAACAGAATGTTTCAAAGTAGCATTCCACATGGAGCCACGACCTTGCTTTTACACAACTGGCCTGAGATATGGATGCTAATTATCTTGAAACCTAATAATTCTCCATGTTTTCTCTCAGCAGACAAAATGAACACCTCAGTAATGATTCATTCACTCACCTTTTTCTTCCTTGTCCTCTGCTTCTCCATCTCCAGCTCAATTATCTGGTACCAGCGACCTGCTGTATCATCATTCTCTTTGTGTTTGATCTGCCAGCCTACACATCACCCACCAACTTCCCAGCAGTGCTTTCGCTCTTCTTACTGTATGGGTAAGTCAAGTGCTACAGTTGTGCATCTGGAAACTAAATGAGCAATAAATCATTAGTCTTGGTGAAATAGTTATTCAGATGTGATCTCAATGACATTACAAATTCTGACACTTTTTTTATTACTTTGCTACCACATTTGTACCAGTCCTAATTTCTCAGTCAACAATCTAATAACAATTATTTTATAAGAACATAAGAAATCAGGAGTAGAACACTCATTCCCTCAATAAAAACTGAAAGAACTGCAGATGCTGTAAATCAGGAACAAAAACAAAGATGCTGGAAAAGCTCAGCAGGTCTGGCAGCATCTGTGAAGGAAAAAACAGATATAATGTTTCAGGTCCAGTGACCCTTCCTCAGAACTCCCTCAAGCTTGAGACTGTAAGTCCAAGGCTGATCAGCACCAGACCTCACCACCTCATTCACGCCAGCAGTTCGTAGGCCTCGACTCCTCTACTTCAAAAATCTACCTGCCTCCTTTTTAAATACTTTCAGTGATCAAGTCTCCACAGCTGTTTCAGGTGGAGAATTCCAGACATTCCCTACTCTCTTAGGGAAGATCTCAATTTTAAATTAGTGTTCCCTTGTTCTGTAATTGTGTCCCAGAAGATGAGATTCCCGCACTAGTGGAAACATTTTCTCAGCATCTTCCCTGTCAAGCCTCCTCAAAACCTTGTTTCAATAAAATCATCCCTCATTCTTCTAAACTTTAATGAATAAAGCCTTTACCCATTTAGCTGTTCTTGATAAGTTAACCTCCTCATTCCAGGAATCAGCCTAGTGCATCTCTTTTGCACTGTCTCCAGTATCAGTGCATCCTTTCTTAAGTACCAGGACCAAAACTGAATGGCATACTCTGGGGGCAGCATCACCAGCATCTTGTACAGTTGTAACAAGACTCCCCTACTTTTAAGCTCTAACCCCCCAACAATAAAAGCCAAAAGTATTATGGCTCGGATTGTGAGTCGTCATTTTTTATTTCTAATCTGGACAGAACAGAGGAGCTTGGGTGGTTCCCACTGTGTACTGGCCAGGCTAACCTCAGACAGACAGCAAAAGCTGCACCCCAGATAGACAGAGTTCCTATTCCTGTTTGCTATAACATGTCGTCTGGAAAGTATGATTGAAAGTGCTAGCCCAGACATACCTTTCCATCTGGAAGTAGCTCATTGGTACTTATCGCTGAGGGTCAAATTTGGATGGGCTGTTCATTGCCCACATGTAACCATAGCAAGGTTAAGGAGAAATGGAGCCTAACATATCAAAAAGACTCCACCAAATCACTTTGAACAAATCTTCAACCTGTGACATCGCCAGAGTCCATTAGTCAAGGGAGAATTTGCTTAAAAAGAAGCTGTTCTATTGTGTGTTTTAATCAGAGAAACAGTAATTCCTGATCAGTCAAGAAAAATTCTTCAGATCTTAAATGTAAAGTAAAGTTAAATACTTGAGTCTTAATAGTTCATGTTTTCGATTGCCTAAAAAGTGGGTAGTTTTTATTTATGCATTAAATTTAAATTGCCTCCTTTCTGTGGATACCTGTGCCATTTTTTTTATTTTCCAGCTGCATTACAGAGCCCCAGCCACCTAAGAAATCTGTGTCAAACTATCACACCTAGCTAGAATGCAGCATATAAATAAGGAATAAGAACAAAAGAACTGCGGTTGCTGTAAATCAGAAACAAAAACAGAAATTGCTGGAAAAACTCAGCAGATCTGGCAGCATCTGTGAAGGGACATCGGAACTAATGTTTCAGGTCTGGTGACTCTTCCTCGGAACTGATGGTAGCTAGGAAAATGTCAGTTTATATGCAGAAGATAGGGTGGCGGAAGGGGGTAAGGAGTAAACGATAGGTGGGGATAGAGCCCATAGAGAGAGAAGAGCCGCTGGTCAGACAAAGGAGTAGAATAGCGATTTGGCTAGGAAGGTGAATAGCTGAACAGTCTCCAATTACAGCTATTCACTATCATTTACTCTTATCCTGTTCCCCACCCTATTTTCTGCATTTAAACCGGCATTTTCTTCGCTACCGTCAATTCTGAGGAAGAATCACCGGACCCGAAACAATAGTTCTGATTTCTCTTCACAGATGCTGCCAGATCTGCTGAACTTTTCTGGCAACTTCTGTTTTTGTTTCTGATGTTAAATAAAAAAGTTCTGCTACAGTTGTACAGAGTGTTGGTAGGCCCACGTCTAGAATACTGTGTACAGTTTTGGTCTGCTCGCTTAAGAAGGGATATAATTGTATTCAAAGCAATTCAGAGAAGGTTCAGTCAACTGACCCCTGGCATAAGTGGGTTTCTTCATGAGGAGAGGTTGTATCCATTCAAGCTTGGAGATGGAGAAGAGGAGGATTCTTTTCTTTGAGAGTGTTGAAATTCGGTAAAGTTCTTTTCCCTGAAGAGTAGTGAGGTTAGGTTGTTGAATATTTTTAGGGTAAAGTTACATTGGCATCCTTGCTAATCAGGATTCTAAGGGTACATGGGGTTAAACAAGAAAGTAGAGCTGAGGCCACGAGCAGATCAGTCATAACTTCATCAAATGGTAGAGCAGCTTCGAGGGACTGAATGATACATTAATGCTCCTGCTTCATATGTTATATTGTGTCGTCTAGTAACCATCCCTTCCCCCACCAGTTGGGTCAATTTCCATCTATCAACACTCTTAAACACACTGGCATGTTTTCAAAGATTTCCTACAGGAAACTATCAAAGAGAGCAAACTTTAATGAGTGTATAGGCTCCTTGGGTACAGAGCTGAGATGGTTCCAGTGACAGTCGTCACTGTTTGGCAGATGAAATTCTTACAAGTTTATGAAGAAAGTGTAATCTTCCAAAAATACCTTTAAAGTTCCTTTCAGTTTTATTTTGATTCAGTGGTTTGTGCCAAAAGTAGGTGCAGTTCAAACCAGTTTTATTTCTGAAAAAGAGCAAGCAGTCAGATTGTAAGCATGACCTGGGTGTGGTAAATTGTCTTTAAAAGAAACAAAAGCAAACTCTTTTGTGGAGAAGAAAGGTCTGGTTTAATGGAATGGTGTGTTAACCAAAACAAGAGTATGTAATTGCTTTCCCATCGAGAGATATCGAATTCCAACGATAATAAGCAGGAAAGAATGTACCCGTAGTTCAGTTAAAGTAGTGCATTTCCCCTTCAATTTGTCTACTGTGAACCATCCAACTGAGAGCATTGACTCAGAAGCACAAGCCATTGTTACTTGCATCCTTTTCTTAAAGTTTGATAGTGAATAACTAACAGTCCAGATCTAAATTGGCACAGTCAAATTCATACAAATGTTAATTTATTTTACGTAATTTGTTTCATGCCAACAGCAGATCTGGTGATTATTAAATTCCATCATAATTTGTATTATAGGAAAGGCACAGTTTTTATGCCAATTTCCTTTCACTTTGATTCCTGTGACCAGACTTCAAGAAGTGGAATCAAGGCTTTAACTGAAGTAAAACTCCATAATACTGGGTTAAAGTGATGAAACAGCGATTTCAGTGCTTCACTATAAGTGCAGGAGGAAATGCACCAGGAGCACATCTTAAAAATGAAGTGTCAATCTGTTGAAACCTCAACACAGGACTGCTTGTGTGTCAAACAGCAGAAGCATCATGAAATAGACAGGGCAAAGTGAACGCATAACCAATAGACCAAATCTAAGTTAACATTTCGGGTCCGGTGACGCTTTCTCAGAACTGAGGAAGGGTCACCGGACCTGAAACGTTGACTCTGTTTTCTCCTCCACAGATGCTGCCAGACCTGCTGAGCTTTTCCGGCAACTTTGTTTTTGTTCCTGATTTACAGCATCCGCAGTTCTTTTGGTTTTTATTTAGACCCAGTCTAAGTTCAGTCTTGAATGAAGGGCAATGAAAAAAAACCATTAAATTTTTGAAGGCTCCACAAGCACCCCCAACCTCGCTGATGGAGAAGCCCAGAAACCAATGCAAAAAACAAGATTAGAGTGCATATATCCTCCTTCAGCTAATAGTACCAAGTGGATGATCCATCTCAACCTTCTCCTGAGGCCATAGTATTACAGATGTCAGTCTTCATCCAAGTGGATTCATTCCAAATAATATAAAGAAATGGCTGAAGACACTGAACACTATAAAAGGTATAGACCGGTACAATGTTCTGGCAATAGTACTGAAGACTTGTATTCTAGCTGTCCCCTGAACCAAGCTGTTCCAATACAGTTACAACACTGGCATGTTCCTGGCAGTGTGGAAAGTTATGTCCTGTGCACAAAAAGCAGAATCAATTCAATCCAGCCAGTTGCTGCTCTATCATTGTACTCTCGATCATCAGCAAAAGTGATGGAAATAGTCATCGACAGTAATATCAAATAGCACTTGCAAAGGAATAACTTGCTCACTGTGGCTCAATTTAGCTTATGCCAGCGCCACTTGTTCCTGAAGTCATTAAAGCCTTATTCCAAATGTGGACAAAATAACTAAACCCCAGAGATTGGATGAGAGTGACTGCTGTTGACATCAAGGCAGAACTTGACCAAGTTTGACATCAAGGAGCCTTATAAAAATTAGACCCAGGCGATCAGGTGTAAGCTCCCTACTTGTTTGAGTCACGTCAAGCTCAAAGGAAGTTTGTTGGAAGTCAACCATTTCAGGACATCTTTGCAGAAGTTTCTCGGTATGGTGTCCTAGGCCCAGCCATCTTCAGCTGCTTCATCAATAACTCTCCCGTCATTATAAGGTCAGAAATGGTTTGATTGCCAATGATTGCACAACGTTAAGCACCATTCATAACTGCTCAGGTACTAATCAGTCTATACTGAAATGCGGCAAGACCTGGATAATATCCAGGTTTGGACTGAAAAGTATCAAGTGACAATGACCATCTCTAACAAGAGAGAATCTGACTTTTGCCCCTTGACATTCAGTGGCTTTACCATCGCTGAATCCTCCACTATCAATATTCTGGAGGTTTTATTGACAGAAACTGAATTGGACTAGCCATATAAATACTGTGGCTATAACAGCAGATCAGAGGTAAGAAAACCTGCAACAAGTAACTCCCCTCTTGAGTCCCCAAAACATATCCATCATCCACAAGGCACAAGTCAAAGTGTTATGAAATACTCCAATCTTGTCTGGATGAGTGCAGCTCCAACACCACTCTAGAAGCTCTACATCATCCAGGACACAGCAACCTGCTTGACTGACACCTCATTCATCACTTTCAATATTCCTGCCCTGTAAAATGCACTGCAGTGGCTCCTTCAACAGCACCTTCCAAACCCATGACTTCTACCTCCTGGAAAGACAAGAACAACAGATGCATAGGAACACCACCACCTGCAATTTTCCCTTCAATTCATATACTATCCTAATTGAAACCATATCACTATTCCTTCAATGTAGTTGGATCAAAATCTTGGAACACCCTTCCTTACAGCATTGATGGTATTGATGTACTCCAAGGGATGACAGTGGTTCAAGAAGGCAGCTCACCACCATCTTCTCCAACGAAGTTAGGAATAGGCAATAAATGCTGGCCAACCAATGATTTTTACATCCCATGAGGGTCTGTTTCCATGCTGTATGACTCTATGAAAGGATTTTAAGAAGAGACACAAGGATTGTTATTTAAACCCTAATCTCCTTATGTTTGAAATTATTTTCATTAAACTATTTAAAATTACACATTACAAATAAGCGTTTTCCAAAGCAATAATTGTCACAATGGTGCAAAATTATCACCAAACTTACCCTTTCTAAAGTGTTGTATTGTCACTTCTGACTCTGGCCATTCATTCATATTGATCTGTCTGTGAATGGCTGGGAGCGTCGCATTTAGTTTCATACGTCTGTACACAGAATTCCTCTGAATAAGAAATATCAGGGGAATGATTGGTGCCTTAAAGGGAGCACAAATTGGTGGGTAGCATCAAGTTAATTAACTTACAAATGTAATGTGGAGAATGACTGCCTCACCAACAGCAATCATTAGAGTTGAAAATGCAGTCAATAGGAAAGGAAGATTTTAAGAATTTGGTGTTGGGTTCGTTTCCTGTTATGTGGAGTTGTCTTTTTGCTGTGTGTTAAGTTATTTGCTGTTTTGTATTAGTTACTTAGCAACTTGGCCACAGTCAATTGCCAGGATAATAACATTGTGCTGCTCTGTCCTCCACAGTCTTCAGGTTGAACTCTCAATCCGTCTGATAAACATCTATACTTAACTGTCGGGCTCAAACTTGTCCTGTAACCCCCAACTCATTCAGTGCCAGCACATGTACCTGAGGGACCTCAGCATAATTCTGTTCCTGACTCTGTAAGGAAATCAAAGCCGCCTGTTGGTTTTATTCACATCATTTGTGCACACACTCCTATCAAGGTGGCACGGAGCACTGATCTGGCAATGTTTTGGACCACAGGACAGTAAAAAGTGACCTTGCAACATTATTCTATCCAGGGAACACTTAAACCACCTTATCTATTGGGATAGGATGGGACCAAGAAGCTTCTATTTAAGAAAAGAGGGAAAGTCAGGTCTCATTTTAATTGCAGAATGTCATCAGTGGCACTGGCTACCTCCCCAGAGTGTCTTAGTGGGGAATGTTACGTGATAGAACCATTGAACCACAGAAATGGTACAGCAGAGAAGGGAGCCATTTGGCCCCATCACGTCCATGAAAAGAGGGAGGAGCATAAACTCGGAAAGCAGGGGCATGGTCACTGACCTTCACTCTTGGTGCTTGCTTTACAGTTGGTCAATCACACCAATCATGTATCCAGCCTCCTTCTGGTTTGAGGTTCCCAGTACAGCCTATGTCTTCTTGATTGTCATCAACCTCTTCATTGGTATCACGGCAACAGTTGCTACATTCTTGCTTCAACTTTTTGAACATGACAAGGTGGGTATTTGAATGATGCGAAATTCTATCTTCTCCTGCCCTTTCCTTTCAGACGTATTTCCCACAATGAGTAAGTTGGAGAGCAAAGGTCAAGTGGTTAGCATTCAGCCTCTCTCTCAGATTATAGCCTGCTTCTACTCACTTGTGATGTTGATTATGTTACTTCTGGTGCTGGTGTTGTTATGGTTGGATCTTGTGTCCTCCCATTCATCTTGGATACAAAACCTGTACAGACATGTATGAGTCAAGCCATACACATGTGCATGAGTCGATCTTTTGTAAAGGTCAATCCCATCATTTTTTAGATTAAGAAACTAATTTGACATGCACATCATATAAAAGTGAACCCTTGTATTTCAGGAATCAAGGTCCAAAAATGTCAGAACCAGAGTATAATCCTGGAGATGTTAGCAATTTATATCATTGTAAATGTATTAAGCCTCATGAAAATGCATACCAGTCAGTCAGAGCTTAAAACATTGAGTTTTGTTTTTATTTATTCAACTTATAGAAAGTGATTGCATTGTGAATGGTTATTAATTTTTTTGTGTGTCTTTTTAAACCTTATTCAATTGTGATGATCCTTTCTGGCTTTCACTTGGGCTCAAATCAAGCATGCACATCAATGCCTGAAAACATTACTCCCAGAAAAATTGAACCCTTGGCTTTTGTCTTAAAACGTTGGTCCCAAAAATTCAGTTTGTAAGCGAGCATATGTAGTGTGGAGAATTATTGGCTTTGTTTCCGTTCAAGGGTTGTATGCTGTCATTGTTGAATTTCTAAACTTGTGTTCTTAGCACTGCGCCCATTACTGACAAGGGTGCATATTATTGACTTTCTGAAAAAAGGGTCACTGGACCCAAAACGTTAACTCCTGCTTTCTGTCTACAGATGCTGCCAGACTGGCTGAGTTTTTCCATCAATTTCTCTTTTGGTTTCTCATTTCCAGCATCCACAGTTTCTTTTTTATTAAATATATTATTGGTCTGTCTTAATTGCTTCAAAGAGATGGTGATGGTGATGGAACTTCTCCACAAATAGTTGTAGCTGTTAAACTGATGGGACTCTCTCCAAATGGACAGGCGTACTGACCCAATCCTATGAATGTGAACAAAACACAAAATTGAAACAATGAACCCTGAATTACTCTTGGCCACAAGTGTCTACCACCATATTAAATCCTCCGTCATAATCAGCCTTGCCTTCATATATAACGGAAGCAGAAATTGCTGCCAGTTCTGAGGAAGGGTCACTGAACCCGAAACGTTAACTCTGATTTCTCTTCACAGATGCTGCCAGACCTGCTGAGCTTTTCCAGCAATTTCTGTGTTTGTTTCTGATTTACAACATCCAGAGTTCTTTCGGTTTTTATTTTGCCTTCGTATACAGGCAGCATACGTTGAATGGTAATATAAAACAAAGAAATGCATTTGCTGGAAATCTGAAGCCAAAGCAGAAATTTCTGGAGAAACTCAGTAGGTCTGGCAGAGAAAGCAGAGTCAACATTTTGGGTCCAGTAACCCTACTTCAGAACTTAGAGTAGCTAAGGAAAGGTGGTATATATGCTGATGGAAGGGAGTGGGGCTGATAGGAGTGATCAGATTGGTGGAGATGGAGCCCAGAGGGAGAGAACAACAGCTAGGCTGGCAAAGGGGTGATTGATAGTCTGCCAGGGAGAAAGAGAAGCTGATAATGGGGACAATAAGTGGGTGAGAATGGGTTGGCTGTGCTCAAAGCAACCCATGTCAAGACAGAGCCAGGGGTGTGGGGGTGGGTAAAGGACATAGACGAAGGTGTTCAGGTTCCAAGATTATTGAACTGGATATTGAATCCAGAGGGCTGCAGGGTTCCCTGGCGGAAAATGAGGTGTAGTCCTTCTAGCTTGCGCTGAGCCTTACTGGAGCACTGCAGCAAGCCTGAGACAGAGCTGTTGGCCAGGGAACACAGTGGTGTGTTGAAGTGACAGACAGCCAGAAGCTCGGGGTAATTTTTACAGACAGAACATAAGCGTTTCGCAAAGCAGTCACCCAGTCTTTGTTTCATCTCCCTGATTGTAGAGGACACCACAGAGTGAGCAGTGAATGCAGTAGACTAGATTGAGTGAAGTGCAGGTAAAGCGCTGCTTCACCTGTAAGGTGTGTCTGGAGCCTTGGATACCGAGAAGGGAGGAAGTAAACAGGCAGGTGTTGATAATTCAGCGGTTTAATCAGCAGTTTTTGATTAAACAATGATATCCAAAAGAGCAAAGACACCACCCAAATGAAGGATACCAGGGTGATGATGTAATGGCAATGTCACTGGATTAGTAATCCAGAGCTCTAGGCTAGTGTTCTGGGTTCAAATCCCACCGTGGCAGACAGTGAATTCAGTAAGAAATTTTAAAAATGCTATCTGAAGGGCATTTGTGGAACCACTGTCAATTGTTGCAAAAACCTGTCAGGTTCACTAAAGTCCTTTACGGGATGAAACTGTATAGGATCAGGTAACAAATGAAGACTGTGGTCGGCTATATCACTACATCTTTCACTGACAATCACTCTCTATGGTAAACAATGAAGGATGGTCACGTGGGTCGCTTTTGGAATACTACGTTCAATTCTGGTCTCCCTGCTGTAGGAAAGATGTCGCTAAACTTGAAAGGCTGCAGAAAATGTTTACAACAATGTTGCTGGGGTTGGAGGATTTGAGCTATAGGGAGCAGCTGAATAGGCTGGGGCTATTTTCCCTGAAGGCTGAGGGGTGACCCTGTAGCGATTTATAAAATCATGAGGGGCATGGATAGGGTGAGGAGCCAAAGTCGTCTTCCTAGGGTAGGGAAGTCTAATACTAGAGGGCATGGGTTTAAGGTGAGACAGACAAGATTTAAATGGGACCTGAGGGACAACTTTTTCAGGCAAAGAGTGGTGTGCAAATGGAATGAGCTGCCAGAGGAATTTGTGGTACGATTAGGACATTTAAAAGGCACCTGGATGGGTATATGAATAGGAAGGGTTTAAAGGGATATGGGCCAAATGCTGGCAAATGGGACTCGATTTATTTAGGTATCTGGTCAGCAAGGACAAGTTGGACTGAACGGTCTGTTTCTGTGCTGTACAACTCAGTGACTCTATGGGTGAGCTATCAAAGGCTTCAGGAAATGAAATGGGAAATGTAGATTCAATGACCATTATGTGAACAATTCAGATTTTCTTTTTTCCATGCCTTGACAGTGATAGAGGGCTCCTTGGTGACATCGCATCTTTACGTTGAAAGGAAAAGTGGTTTTATTCCCAGTCCGTCATGGGCATGCAAAATGTTGTGTTATTCCTGGCCTCAGACATCACATTGCTGGGCACCTGCATTTGCCATTTATGTGTTTAGCTTATGGAATGAGAGATGTAGGAAGGCACTCAAGATAGTTCAAAGATTAATATTACCAGCTATGAAAATAAATGGAAGAGGATATAATCACACAATGGTAGCACTTCATTAAGATATAAAATTAAACAGTATTGAGTGTGTTCTTTAACATCTAAGTTGAGAGTCTTTTCAGTTGTTTTTTGACAATAATGGTTTTTACAATGAACCATGTATTTGTTTCCGTTGATAGAGTTAGATGTGTTTCCAATGTCCTATATCTTCTTGGCTGTGTCTTTGCAGGACCTGAAGGCTGTGAATAGCTACCTGAAATCCTGTTTCCTCATCTTCCCAAATTATAATCTGGGCCATGGACTGATGGAAATGGCTTACAACGAGTACATCAATGAATACTATGCAAAAATAGGTAAATATGAAAGTGTTAGTCCAGGCTATTGGTTGACCATTAAAAAGGACGGTGACTGGAGAAGGACTTTTTTGACCATGATATGCATCAATACCCAATAATCCCATTTAAGGGCCTCCTTCAGTAGAGGCATCTGCTTTTGCTAATAGATTCTGGGATTGAGATGGTTTGCACAGTGCAGACAAGAGCTCACCTCAGTGTCACTCGTGTCAATGAGAACCATTGGTTTACACACCATTGTTTATTGAAGTTTCTGCTATGCCTTTGCTTTACAGAAAGGGGCAGTTGTAAGATAAAGGCAGAACTAAGCCCTTGAGATGGGTTTAGCACTATCAGTACAGTGACTAGCTTGGCAGAAGTGGCTACAAACAGCAGTAAGCTCCTAACATTAGAACAAAGCTGACGCTTGTAAAACTTGTTTTACAACAGGAACGTAAGCATACGTAATGAGGAGAGAGACAGAGAAAAACTCTGCATTGATTAGAAGAGAAGGATATTTGGGAAGGATATTTGAGAAGGATATCTGTGATGAGAGCGCAGAGAGAAATGGGAGCAAATTAGTGATGCTACCATTCTAACCAATATAAATAACTCCTCCATGGTGATTAATATATTTAAACCATGTGTTTTGTGAACATTTTTATATTATATTCAGTGTAGTAAGCTGTTAACAAGGTCAAGCTGCTATTTTATACAAAAACCCTGACCAGAGAAGCCATTTTGTATTCTGTATTTAACAACTAATCGCATATATTGAGCAAACATTACTGCTTAATTAGTAACTAGCCAAAGAAAAATCTGTATAGCTGGTGAATCTTGCCTGTGTATAATTGAAGACTAATCAAGTAGTCATTAAAAGTGGATAATGTACTAATAGCTATAACACAGTGTGGAGCTGGAGGAACACGGCAGGCCAGGCAGCATCAGAGGAACAGGAAAGTTGCCATTTCAGGTCCCGACCCAAAACATCAACTTTCCTGTTCCTCTGATGCTGCCTGGCCTGCTGTGTCCTTCCCGCTCCACACTGTGTTATGTCTGACTCCAGCATCGGCAGTTCTTACTACCTCTGAATGTACTAATAGCTGACGTTTTGCTGCTGTAAACTTGGTCTATGGCAACAGAGGGCATTGTGCCACACCAAGCTCACATTGGAAGAATCCCGACAGTGTGGAAGCCGGACATTCAGCCCATTGGATCCACACTGACCCTCCGAAGATGATCCCACCCAGACCCGCCACCCCCCACCTTATCCCTGCATCCCTGCATTTCCCATCGACAGTCCACCTAGCCCGCTCACCTTTGAATTGTGGAAGGAAACTGGAGTACCTGGAGGAAACCCACACAGACACAACGAGAACATGCAAACTCTACACAGTCGCCCGAGGGTGGAATTGAACGTGCATCCCTGACACTGTGAGGCAGCAGTGCTAACCGCTGCGCAACCATGCTTGACCATCTGGATTAAGTGTCCAGGGAATGAATGAAGGGCTTGCAGCAAATCAGCTAAGGCAGACCTCACAAACTGTTGCATTATTTCACTCCAGGGAGCCCAGACTGGCAAAATTTCAAATGTGTTTTCTAATAATGTAACTAAGTATATGTGAGACCAATCTATCCATGTTCCTAACCATGTCTTAAACATGGCTGAGACAGTTCAGGATAGGTGGATGCTAGCAAATACAAGTCTCCATTTCCAGAAAATCGACTTCACAGTGTAACTGGGATGGACCTGACAGGAAGAGAATTGTTTAATGTTACGTAACCTCCCACTGTCATCTCCCTAGACTTCAGTGCCAAATAGTGTTTAATTATCTATTTTTAAACTGCTAGAATTGATCTGAGTGGCCTCACCATTGGCGCAATGAAGTACAGGAAACATGGGGCCCTGCCCTGTGCCTAATGTGTGGCATTACAAGTTGGAAAGCAAGGTGTGTAGTCAGATATGTCATGTCACCTGGTTAAACTGTTGCAATCTCTCTCTGCACATGTAACCTTTGATTCTTGCCAAATTGCAACTCAGTTCTGTGCTGTGGGGTGTGTCCCTACAGAGAGCATGAATGCAATCCATTATCAAACTCCACTTAGTTGTTTAATCCTTGTTTGTGAACAATCAAGGTGGCAGCCAATAATTAATCAGCTGAAAAAGTTACAACCAGTAAGTGTAAGCTGTTGTGTACACTCTCATCTGTCTACAAGGGCCAGTTAGCTCAGTTGGCTGGACAGCTGGAGAGTGATACCAACAGCGCATTTCCAATTCCTGTACCATGAAGTACATTAAAGGACTGCTTCTCAACCTTTCCCCTCTCCTCAGATGTGGTGACCATTAGGTTAAACCACCACCAGTTGCCTTTCCCTAATGAGACAGCAGCCCATTGTCCTCTGGGGCTATACCGACTCTACCTCTACCTCCTATCCATCAACTATTCAACACGAAGTAGCCTGCACAGCTACTTCCAGGGATTAAGGGAGTGATCACATTCGTTTCTGCATAAAAGTCCTCTCTCTGCCCTGCCATGCTCAAGGTTCTAACTCACCTTGAGATCAACTTTGACATGACCTCACCTCTGTGATCGTTCTTCCCCTCATTGACATGTAGGCGCTGTGGCACTGTTGGTGGCGGAGATCACAAATTCAGGCCTTGGTGAATTTGATGCTTTAATTTCAATATGATCTGTTGTCATTGAAAAAAGAACAGAGTGAAGCTTGTATATGATTTCTCCTGGTAGGCCAGTTTGGCAAGATGAAATCCCCTTTTGAATGGGACATCGTGACACGCGGCCTTGTTGCCATGACGATCGAAGGGTTTGTGGGCTTCTTCATCACCATCATGTGCCAGTACAACTTCTTCAGAAAGCCACAGTAAGTCCATTAAGTGACAAGCCGAACACATGCTATCTGTAAGCACATGTGCCATCTGGAGTTTCAACTTGACGGAAATTTTTGAAGTGCTATACATTCCTGCATGCTTGTTAAAAATGTGCATGACTTATTCCCACAATCTTTTTGGCACACAGATACAATGTATAAGTTTCACAGTGCTGACTATCTCCTCTTCCCTCACCCACAAATGTCAGAATTTCTGAAAATTTCCCTGAAGCTATCATTAAAAAAATTTAACAGGCAAGTCGAATCAGAAATGAGGGGTGATCCAGACTCTAGAATTCATGTAGCAGTGAGGCTGATCCTTGCCAGAAGAATCAAGAGAGTTTTGACAATGACTATATTTTTCGCTTTAGAAGAGATCATTCAGTAGGACCAGACAAAGTCCTAAATGGCCAATATTTTCAGATGCACCAAGGCTGCAGGCTTAGAGGGCACTAATACATGGTATATTCCCTGTTACAGTTCTGATGAAGGGTCACTGGACCTGGAATGTTGACTCTGCTTTCTCTCCACCGATGCAGCCAGACCTGTTGAGTCTCTCCTGCAATTTCTATGTTTGTTTCTTGTCAGGTTGCTCACTGCTTACATGGATATCTGGGTGAGGATGGGGCAGAAAAACTTTGTTGTTGTTTCACATCTTTAACACAGTGACATATCCAGTGAAACATCCCAGAATGTTTTGCAGAAGTTTTATCAAACAAAATATGAACGGATGTTAGTCCAAAAGGGTAGATTTTAACGATGGAAAGCAAGATAGACGGCAGAAAGGTTTAGGGAGTTATTTGAGAGGCTAGGACCTTGGTAGTTGAAGGCACTGGTGAAACAGTAAAAATTGTGGATGTTCAAGAGACTAGAATGAGATGAACACATACAGTGAGGGTTGTGGAACTGGAGGTTACAGAGCTAGAAGGGAGTAAGGACATGGAGGGGTTTTAAAATGAGAATGAGAATTTTAAGGGTGGTCAAGACTTTTCTCAACTGGGAGTCAGTCTAGCTCAGTGAGCACAAGGGTGATGAGGGAATGAGTCTTTGTATGAGTTAGAACAGCAGAATTTTGAAAGACCATAAGTTAGTGGAAGGTAGAATGTGGGAGACCAGCTGAAGGAGCATGAAAGAGCATTGTAATAGTCTTATCCAGATGTAACAAAGACATGGAGGAGGGTTTTGGCAGTAGATGGGGGGGGTTGGCGGTGTTGGAGGAGGGTAGCCGATGACCTAATGGTATTAACGCGACACTATTAATCCCAAGACCCAGAGAGTCTGGGGACTCGGGTTTGAATTCAATAAAAAAGTCTGGAATTAAGTCTCTAATAATGACCATGCAACCATTATCAATTGTTGGGGAAAAAAAACTCATCTGGGTTCACTAATCCCCTTTAGGAAAGGAAATCTGCCATCCTCACCTGGTCTGGCCTACCTGTGACTCCAGACCCATTACACTGTGGCTTATTCTTAACTGCCTTCTGGACAATTAAGGATGGGCAGTAAATGCTGGCCAAGGCAGTGACATCCTCATCCCATGAAAGAATTTTTAAGAAAGCAGATGAGCTGAACAGAGGGGCACTCAGAGATGGAAATAGGTGATGGCCTGCATTTAGTCAGAAGTTCATCTTGGGGTCAGATATGATACCAAGGTTGCAAGTGGTCTGGATCAGTCTCAAGATGTTACCACGGAGAGGGACAAAGTTGGTTGTTAGGGAATGGAGTTTGGAGAAGTGAAAAAAAAGCAATGGCTTCAGGTGCTAAGGCATTTAGGGGAAAATTTGCGACCATCAACATTGAATATTAGATAAAGACTCTGATCATTTTCACAATGATGGGGAAGATGAACAAGGAGGTGGTGGGATAGGGACATTTGACTCCTCAAGTTAGTACTGATGGGTATTGTTGATATTGTGATAAATAGTCTTGAGGACCTTTTCCACCAAATGTGTATTGTAATTTGTGGTTTCTCTTGAGCATGTTATTTTGTATAATGTATACATCTCGATAAGGAACGTATGGAATTGTTTTGCTTTGAAGTATCTGTTTTGCTTCATCTCATTACTGAATCCTGCCTCTGTTTAACAGGCGCCTGCCAGTTTCTAACAAGCCGATAGAAGACGATGATATCGATGTGGGGAACGAGAGGAGACGTGTGCTGCGAGGCGATGCAGATACTGACGTTCTTAAAATTCAAAACCTGACAAAGGTAAAGCAAAGTCAAATGGGAACATTGAGAATACAGTCTCTTTGAAAGAAAGATTTGCATTTCTCAATGTCTTTATGCGACATGCCCAGCATTCCTGCATTGGGAGCATTTCAGAGAAGATTCACTAGGCTGTTTCTGGTGTGACAGGATTGTCTTCTGAGGAAATGTTAGGATTACACCCGTTGGAGGTTAGGAGAATGAGATGTGATCTTATTGGGACATAGAAGATTCAGAGAGGACTTAACAGGGTGGTAGTGAGAGTTTCTCCTCATTATGGAATCTAGAATTGGCATATAATTTCAGAATAAGAGTGTCTCATTTAACATAGAGACCAAAAGGAATTGTTTTCTCTGAAGGGATTGGTATTATTTGGAATTTTCTTCCTCAGCAAGTAGTGGAGGCAGGGTCGTAGACCTGATGCAAGTGTGAGTTGAAATTTTGACTCAAAAAGGAGTTCAGGGTTATAGGGGACAGGCAAGAAAGTGGAGTTCAGGCCACATCAGAGTAGCCAGGATCTTGTTGGTGGAACCAACTCACAGAGTCATACAGTCATACAGCACGGAAACAGAACCTTTGGTCCATCTTGTCTGCACCGACCAGGCACACCAATCTGATCTAGTCCCATTTGCCAGCATTTGGCCCATATCTCTCTCAAACCCTTCCTATTCAAATACTCATCCAGATGCCTTTTAAATGTTGTAATTGTACCAGCCTCCACCACCTCCTCTGACAGTTCAATCCATACACATGCCACCCTCTGCATGAAAAAGTTACCTCTCAAGTCTCTTTTAAATCTTTCGCCTGTCACCTTAAACCTATGCCCGCTTGTTTTGGACTCACCTACTCTAGGGAAAAGACCTTGGTTATTCATCCTATCCATGCCCCTCATCATTTTATAAACATCAACTTAAGGGACTGAGCGGCCTGCTGTTTGTTATGTTCTGTTTTTTTGTGAATGAAGACATTCCAGAGCTGTTTACAGACAGTATTGGAGGTGTCGGTGTAGTGACCATGACAATCCAGAACCCAAGGCTTAAAGTTCTGGATACATGGGTTTTGAATCCTCGTGCACGATAGTAACATTTGAATTCAATGAAATAGATCTGAAAAAGCAAGGTGTAGAGCTGGATGAACACAGCAGGCCAAGCAGCATCAGAGGAGCAGGAA